AAAAAGGTAAAATACTTACAGAGGTTTCAGTAATGTCCTCTGATAAGAGAACAACTTACAATTCTTTTCATGACTATTGATGTCCATGATTTACAGTGACAGAGAAGCACAAAGCCATTGGAGAGAAGATCCAGTCACAACACAGTCAAAGAGACTTACGTCAAAGATTTCATTATTGGGTTCTTATGACACGCAAGAGCCAAGAGGCACGGCAGTTTTATCTTGAACGATTGCTTCCCAGGTAATACAGTGTTTTTATGAACACTTTGATCATATTATTTTAATTATTAGTGTCTTAATTATAATTTTTTATCTTCAACATCTTATAACACTTGGTCGCAACACATCCTTTGAATATTATGTTGTAAAAATCACTTGGACTGTTAACTATACAAACTATACCCCCTAGAGCAATGACAAAATCTCACAAAACTGAATGTTATTCCATAGAGTCTCTATCTCCTTGCTCGCTGACAATTTCAGCAACACCGTAGAATAACATTTGCTCTGAAAATTCTGTCATTGCTCAAGAGTAAACAGTGAGACAGAGAGACTTGGAGCAAGTCTACATTAACAAAAAAAAAACAAAAAAAAAACAAATATTAACAGGAAATCACTGTACTTTTTCAGAACTTTCATAGCTTGGCATCAGTATTCCTGCACACATTCTAATAACTGTAAGAAGAGTGCATGGTTCAAGGACCAGAGAGTGTTAAACATGGCATTCAGAGAATGGAAAAAAAGATTTGAAGATCAACATAAAGCGCATGAATTCATTGAGGTCGGTGGAAACTCTCCTTTCAGTAAATTACAAACTTTATTTCTAAAGACTAAATAAAAAACTTCCCAGTTTACTTTTAATGTTAATTTGATTTTTTTAACTAGACTAGGGAAATTGAGTTATCCATTGAAATACTGAAGACTTGGCATGAATGGGCTACAGGTAGATTTATTACTTAATCTTGACTTCTCATTTGCTCAATATATTTATAACTTCTCTTTCCCTCTCTTTTGTGTTCTTCTTTCTCATTTTCCATCTCTTTCATTTCTTTTCTTATGCAATCTTCCCCCATCCCTTCTCTTTCCTTCCCTTTCCTACCTGGTTTCACTTCAATCCCCCTCTTTTAAATTTCCCATTCTTCTTCTCCCATTTCTTGGATCTCGTCATCCAATGATGTCAATAAAAAACCATTTTATTACCTTATATCAAAACTTATGGCTTTTGCAGTCAAGATAAACTTACATTGAATGGAATTGTCTTAAACTAGGTGTGTGTGCGAGACGAAGGCAGTGGCGTAGCTACCACAAATCCTTACAACTCAAGACAATGAAAACCATCTTTGGTGCATGGCTTGGTCAAGTTCAGCGACGAGAATCAGCAGAAAAGATGTACAAGCACTCATTGATGAGGAGGTTAGAGCCCTTGTTGTTGCTGTTGTTGTTGTTGTTGTTTTTGTTGTTGTTGCTCTTGTGGCTGTTGTTGTTGCTGCTGCTGCTTTTGCTGTTCCTGTTGTTGTTGTTGTTGYTGYTKTTKTT